CATTTGGGGGTGTTTGTACTATCCTGGTATTTGGGGGTGTACTATCCTGGTATTTGGGGGTGTTTGTACTATCCTGGTATTTGGGGGTGTTTGTACTGTCCTGGTATTTGGGGGTGTTTGTACTGTCCTGGTATTTGGGGTGTTTGTTTGTCCTGGTATTTGGGGTGTTTGTACTGTCCTGGTATTTGGGGGTGTTTGTCCTGGTATTTGGGGGTGTGTTGTACTGTCCTGGTATTGGGGGGGGTGTTTGTACTGTCCTGGTATTTTTGTTTGGGGGTATTTGTTTGTACTATCCTGGTATTTGGTCCTGGTATTTGGTGGGTGTTTGTACTGTCCTGGTATTTGGGGGTGTTTGTACCTGGTATTTGTCCTGGGGTGTTTGTACTGTCCTGGTATTGGGGGTGTTTGTACTGTCCTGGTATTTGGGGGGTGTTTGTACTATCCTGGTATTTTAGCACCTCAAGAAATGTGATGGGCAGTCAGAAAGTAAAAGCTGTGTAAATTCCATTATCTATCCCATAGTTTGTAGACGCTATAACTATCAATATACACTGATTGGGATTTTTTTACCAAAACATGGAGCAGAATACATTTTGGCCTAAATGTATAACGAACTTTGAGTTTACTATATATTTTTTATAGCCAAAAGTAAAAAATATCCTTTTTCTTCAAAAAGTTTGGCCTTTTCTTGTTTATGGTGTGAAAAATAAAAATCGCACACAGGTGATCAAATACCAATGAAAGAAAGCTCTATTTGTATGAAAAAAAGGACGTAGATTTCATTTGGGTACAGCATTGCATGACTGCGCAATTGTCAGTTGAAATAGTGCAGCGCCGAACAGCAAAAACAGGAGGGGGTAAATCCTCAGGATGTCCAGTGGTTAAATATATTTTAAAAATATTCTTCCAAAATGTATTGAAATACTACAATTTTGGTCATATGCAATATATTTCTAAAGATATTTCAATAAATATATATATATATTGTATGTTGAAATGCATTTGTATTACAAAATATAGGAAACATATTTTTAAAAATACATTTACATATATACTGTATGCCTTTGTAAATACATTTAATCTACATTTTTGGAATGCATTTACAAATATATGTAAAAATATATGTTAAAGTTACTTTTTTATATGTTAAAAAAAATCTGAAGAATACATTTTTTTAAAAATATATATTTTTAAAGATATTTTTAATATATTTTGGAATATATAAAAAACTCATTTTAACATGCAGCATATATATACGGCCAAAATTGTAGTATTTCAAATATATGTCAAAATATTGGGAAGAATATTTTTAGAATATATTTAAAATATATCTTACCTCCATGTGGGTATAAAGTCTTGCTGTTAATCTTCCCTTCATATACAGATTAATACCTGCTGGAGGGATTTCTGATTTTTTGACCAAACATCTAATCATGAAAATGTTAATTGCTGAAATGGACAATTGTTTCCCACCCTGGTCACCCAGGACAGCACAGTATACTATTGTCCATTGGACCCATTACCATTTCTCTCATTACAGTCACACAGATACAGTTTGCCTTTTAAATAGAATTAGCACCAGAATAGTCCCCATAGTCTATCACTCTTCAGGAATTCCCTTTTAATATGTAAATGGACTTGTCCCCAGTCTATGCATGGATATTCAGGAATGTGTGTGTATACGTTACCTTTGCATGTACTCTTTTTATTTCTTATAAAATTTGTTCCTGTTTATTAATTTTTCTTTTTTTATTATTTATTTCCATTACTTATATAGCGTCATCAATTTACGCAGCTCTTTACATATATCTTGTACATTCACATCAGTCCCCACCCCTCAAGGGACATACAATCTCAAGTCTTAACTTAACTTACATTCATACACTATATTAGGGCCAATTTTAGACAGGATTCAATTAACTTGCCAGCATGTCTTTGGAGTGTAGGAGGAAACCGGAGTCCCAGAGGAAACCCATGCAGGCACAGGGAGAACATGCAAACTCCAGGCAGGTGATGCTGTGGTTGGGATTTGAACCAATGATCCTAGTGCTGCCAGGCAGAAGTGCTAACCATTTAGCCACTGTGCAAATATTTTTATTAAATGCAAAAAAAAAAAAAAAATGAAAATACCATTAAAAATTGTTCCTATTTATTCATTTTTTTTTTTTTTTATTAAATGCAACAAAAATTAATGTGTATGTACTCTCTATGTTTTTTTTTTCAAATTCTTTATTTATAGAGACAATTCCACACTCACAGAGCAGTTCAATATTTCCAGAGTACACAGATTAGAAATGGGTAACATCCCCTATGCAGAAAAGTCATCTTGCAAAATACAGTCAAAGGTATAAACTTTAACACTGTACTCTACTTATTTTTAATAAAATGTGTTCCTATTTGTTCATTTTTCTTTTTTTTTTTTACTGAATGCAACAAAAAATACACTGTCAGTTTTTTTTTTTTACATCTGTGCACCATTGTGCAGATTTCCCTTCACTTCTTGTGTCAGCCAAACAGGAAGTGAGAGAAAATTCTTCCAAATTAAGGAAGTTCCTTGGTGACCACCAGAACCAGCGTCCCCATTGGAAGATTTCTCTTCTATTACTTTTCTGGGGACAACCCAAAGTGTGGGATTTTTTTTATGTTCACAATGAAAACAGGACAAATAGAGACAGTGAATCTCCCTAATGGGGACACAGACAGTAACCGCAATTTCTATTGGGCATAGCTATCATATACACATGATTTTGTGCAGGGAGTCCGCCCTGTGGCAGTATTTCTATTATAGGGCGGACCTAAAGTGGTTAAGGAAAGCTCGGCGCTGTATTTCTATTTATTGACATTTTTGCACATTTATATGAGTATGTTTAGGTGTGGGCAGCGTTGTTTTAGTTGAATTCACTGATAAGTTGGTTTATTGATTATTGATCACCTTTTTTAGCTGCTTGTGGGAATACTTTGTATTATTTGTGCTCCTCTTCACTAGTGTACCTTTCCAGTTCCTGTGTTTATAAATATGGACACAGAATGATCTCTGATTCTGTACAGGTGATCAGCAGGTCCAGGTGATCAGCAGGTCCAGGTGATCAGCAGGTCCAGGCCAGAAATCATTGGCCTGGACCTGATAATCGGCTTGTGGTGTACTGAATGACAGCACAGTCAGGGCGGTGGGCTCACACGTGTACATGTACTGTATGTGATCTGGAACAGAGGGGCTGCCCTGCCGCAGTATAAGTGTGGTGGTCGGTCCTGAACTGGGTAAAGTCAGATTGTTTGCCGATGATCTTTTACTTACTTTGGTCCAACCCAACACCTCCCTGCCAGTCCTATTCTCTGTACTCCATACATTTCCCTTTCCTCTGTAAAACAGAATGATAGTTTCCTTGGCCCACCACCTCCTACCTGGATTATTTGGGCATTCATCTCCCTCGCTCGTACAACACACTCCATGAGGCCAACTACATCCCCACTTTCAAATACTTGAGAGTCCTACTTCTGTCCTGGACTCATCTTCACCTCTCCTGGATAGGGAGGATCAGTGATGGAAAATTGGCAATTTTACCAAAACTCCTTTACTTGTTCTGTACTCTCCCCATCCCCACCCCCATCCCCCCCCCCGATCCCCATCTCCTCCTATACTCTGAAATCTTTTTAAAATCAGGTCTTGTGATTCAACTGAGCAGACAAAGGGCCACGAATCCCAAGACATGCTATGTTTATACATAAGGAACAAGGAGGTTTGGGTGTTCCAAATGTTACTAAATATTTCTTGGTGCCCAGATTACCCCACTAACCCCCCTTTACACCACAATACATGGCTCCTTATGGGCTGACTTAGAAGCATTGCTCTGTTCTCAAACTTCTCACCATTCACTCCCATGGAGTCCTCCTAAATCCAGACCTACGTCTATCAGCCTCTTGATGGGTCACACACTCTGCACCTGGAACTCTGATAAATATTCCAGCAACTTCATATCCCCTCACTTGCCTCTCTGTCCTCTTTTGGGTGATCCTAAAACGGTTACAAAAACGTTACTAATCTGCGCTCCCCCGGAACCCTCGGTACATCTTAATGCATTTGCAGCCCCCAGGCCTCACAAGTTCCCAATATAAATGGTCACACATTCCATACCCTGGACTTTGTCTGCCCTTGTACTACATAGCTGGGGGGAGATCTAGAGGAGATTGTCCAATCAGATTGTATAGGAAGGTATTATAATGAGGGAGGTGTGGTCCAGAGCGGTGAACACGCCCTGTCACACCCCCTTCTGTGATGCAACAAGGAAGTGAAGGCTTCTGGGAAGTGGCCTACAGGAAGTGAATGCTGAGATATCATGGACAGGAAATGATGCAATCTGAAAATCCGTTCCAACGATCCAATAAACTGACAGACAAGTGATGGTCCTGTGGATGAGGGGAGAGGAAAGCCCATCGGGACGGCCGGGCCAGAGACGGCATCAGAGAACGCTTCTGTGTATTATGGGAGGGAAATTCTGCCCAAAAAGGGGAACTTCTCCTTCAAGTATGGACCAAACTGGTCACGTCTGGGTGAATGACGGCTCATTCATTCAACAATTTATAGACTCAGCCAATCACAGGGCAGGACTCCATTGTTATTCTTCTCCTGCCATCAATGGGCAACCCTGGTCCCACACTTCATCCATGTCTTTGGGGACCTCTGATCTCCTTATGAACTGTTTCTTCCATGATGAAGATCAGCCATGGAGTATATCTGAGGTGTATATCAGGGTGTGCTTCTTCCCCACATGAGAGCTGGGATGTCCAGCAACATTCATCTAGAAGACATTTCCCGCACTCAAGGCACTAATACACCTCCAGGGTTGTGTGGGACCCCTGATGTACAGGAAGTGTGAGATTTCTTATGCCTGGAAAGATTGAAGCTCCTTGAAAAACATTTCCCAAACTCAGGATAGGAATACGGCTTCTCCCCCATGTGAGATCTCTGATGTGTAACAAGTGCTGATTTATATATGAAACATTTACTGCACACAGGACAGGAATACAGCTTTTCCCCGTGTGAGATCTCTGATGTGTGTACAGATCAGATTTCTGTGAAAAACATATCCCACACTGAGAACAGGAAAGTGGCTACTCCCCCGTGTGAGATCTCTGATGTTTAGAAAGACTGGACTTCTCTGAAAAACATTTCCCGCACTCAGGACAGGAATACGGCTTATCCCCCATGTGAGATCTCTGATGTTTGTAAAGACTAGACTTGTCTGAAAAAACATTTCCCGCACTCAGGACAGGAATATGGCTTCTCCCCTGTGTGAGATCTCTGATGTACATAAAGAATTAGACTTCTGTGTAAAGCATTTCCCGCACTCAGGACAGGAAAATGGCTTTTCACCCGTGTGAGATCTCTGATGTCTGGAAAGAATGGACTTGCTTGAAAAGCATTTCCAGCACTGAGAACAGGAATACGGCTTTTCCCCCGTGTGAGATCTCTGATGTCTGTAAAGACTGGATTTTTGTGAAAAACATTTCCCACTCAGGACAGGAATGTGGCTTCTCCTCCGTGTGAGATCTTTTATGCACATTAAGATGGGATTTAGAACTGAAACATTTCCTGCACCAGGACAGGAATAAGGCTTCTCCCCTGTGTGAGATCTTTTATGCACATTAAGATGGTATGTAGAATGGAAACATTTCCCGCACTCAGTACAGGAGAAGCTCTTCTCTGTTGGAAGGCCGGCCCGGTCCCGCACAGTCTGAGGTTCCTCAGGATACAAGGAATCCGATGGTCCATCTACACTGGGTGGTGCCGGATGGACATTGGAGGGAGCCGGATTTTCTCCTGGACTATACTGTGTGATGTCCTCATCTTCTACTTTCCAGTCTGGAGACAAAGTGAGACAATCCTCGGAGGTTTTCCTCATCTCCCGGCCATGGACTAAAATACAAAGACAAAGAGGATTACTAGACAGGAGCTGATTGGTTCCCCCAAACCAGGACTCCGCCCACATCAGGCAGCTTGGTCTCTGAGGAGCTTACAATTCCACCCTCAAGGGAACTAGGAAATGGCTCCTCTGATCTCCTACCAGGTCATTTCTTTATTCATGGACCTTAGTCAGAGAGTGAGGAAACAACCAGAACTGATACATAAATTGTGTCTGCAGCACAGAGAAGGAAGATTATCCGAGAGAAATCCAGGAATACAGGACGGGGAACACAGCTCAGGAAAGTGACCAGGGGATTACAGGCTGATATCACCCAGTCCCCGCCCTACTCTGGACCAATCAGTGAGCAGTATGGGTGGAGGAATGGATTTAGTGTTCATGACCCACCTGTGCTGATCTCTGTAGGAGTGTCCTCCTCTATAAATGTCCCCGTTATTCCATCCTCCTCCATAGACTGCTGATCATCCCTCACATACGCCTCTTCTTCTTCTGCTTTCACCTCAAATTCTATATCGATTGGATCTCCACTCTAAATCAAGAAATGAGAGAAAATATCATCTGTAAAATATGAGCTTTATTATTGTGACATCACACACACAATCCACACATTGTCTCTACAAGTCCATCTTATAGATGCTCCATCCCACCACCCAGGCCCAGACTGGGCCAAAAAAATTGTCCCAGGCATTTTAGACTGAGCAGCCCAGTGTAATCCTCCGCACAATGTAGAAAAAGAAAACTTTCCACCCACATATCTCCATCTCTGAGGCACAACACTGCCGGGGGGTGTAGGTGAGGCAGACACAGGAGGAGGGAGGGAGGAGGAGGAACAGAACCAGCTCTCTCTCTCAACCCCTGTCCATGTGGGAAAAGGGGTGGAATGTCATTGATGGCTCTGGGCTGTAAGAGAGAGACTCTCTCAGCTCAGAGCCCTGCAGCCACTGGGCAGCCGCAGTCCAGCCTCCTGGGGCCACTAACAATGGAATCAGAGCAGCAAGGTTACCCTGCCCCCTGGCTCAGTCCCCCATGGCTCCAGGGCTCCAGAGCTGTCTGCCTCACTCCCTCTCCACACATCACAGGGTACTAAGGAAATGCAGCAGAGTTCCCAGAGTTCTGGCCCTGTCCGGAAGCCCCTGTCCACCAGGCAATATACCCGTGTGCCCTATGGCCAGTCTGGACCTGACACAAACCTTGTAATGGTGAGGGATGGTGTGACCCCCCTGTGTGGAATCCTGGGAATACAGAGGACAGTGACATCTTTCTGGTAGATTTTTGTAGCTGTATGACTCCACCATGGTGTCCTGGTACAGATCTTTGTGTTTTTCTGGAATCTCTGACTCCTCCATCACCCCATCCTCATCCTCCTCTTCTTCTATTTCTTCTTTTTTCTCAACTTTAGGATCTCTCAGGTCTCCACTCTGAATATATAATAAAAATGACATCAATGGTAACAATGCAGATAATGTACAGATCCTAATGATACTATCAGTGATTGTTCCTCATCTACCTGATGATGGTGAGGGATGGTGTGACCTTCCTGTGTGGAATCCCGGGAATACAGAGGACGGGGACATCTCTCTGGTGGGTTCCCATGACTGGATCCATCTGTAGGAAACACACACACTGACTGAATCCATTGTTTCTATGTGTTTATCAGATGATGGGGGATCTAGGTGGATCCTCCGTACTGCTCTCTCCTTTACAATAAAGTCTCCTCTTACCCGGTGATGTGAGGGGCGGCTGATTGTCCATCATGACGTCCTTGTAGAGATCCTTGTGTCCTTCTAAATACTCCCACTCCTCCATGGAGAAATAGACAGTGACACCCTGACACCTTATAGGAACCTGACACACACAATGATACAGTCACCATCCAGACACATCCCTTGTCTGTTACTGGAGAATGTCCCAGAATTCCCGGCACCGCTCACTCTCCTGTCAGCAGCTCCATCATCTTCTTGGTGACTTCTAGAATCTTCTGCATGTTGTGTCTCTCAGGGTTTAGGGAGTCACATGGAGGCACTGTGATGGTCATATGATCACCTGACTTCAGAAGAGGAAATGTCTGAGGAACCAATAGGAATATCATGTTAGACTCCCAGAATCCTCCTCACCTCTCCGGTCAGGTCTGTGTTTTATTATTAGAGATAAGAGTGATGTCATGTGACCTCCCAGAATCCTCCTCACCTCTCCGGTCAGGTCTGTGTTTTTATTAATAGAGATGAGAGTGATGTCATGTGACCTCCCAGAATCCTCCTCACCTCTCCGGTCAGGTCTGTGTTTTATTATAGAGATAAGAGTGATGTCATGTGACCTCCCAGAATCCTCCTCACCTCTCCGGTCAGGTCTGTGTTTTATTAATAGAGATGAGAGTGATGTCATGTGACCTCCCAGAATCCTCCTCACCTCTCTGGTCAGGTCTGTGTTTTATTAATAGAGATGAGAGTGATGTCATGTGACCTCCCAGAATCCTCCTCACCTTCCGGTCAGCAGGTAGATGATCTCCAGGGTGAGGTTTAGTATCTTCTCAGTCATGTGACTCCGGTCCTCCTCCATCCTCATTGGTGCCATCATGTGATCTATACAGGTCTCCTTGTAGACGGATAACTTTGGGAAATGAAAGTAAGAATGATTTGGATGGTATTGGTCACACAATAATAGGATGTGGATGTGAGGGGGGAATAGGAGGGTTGCTGGACAACCACTTGTTTCATTTTGGATAGAGTAAGGGAGGGTTATAACCTCTGTCAGTTGTTTTTGCCATCTGTGTCCCATTGGGGATATTTCCCTTCACTTCCTGTCCCATAGCCAAAACAAGAAGTGAGAGGAAATCCCCACCAAAAGTGAGGGAATTCTGGTGTCACCAGAACTAGTTTCCTCATTGGACGATATACTCTCTATTAGTGTTCTGATGTCAACCCAAAATTTGCGACTCTCTTTCACTCTTGGTTATAATGGTCACCGGGACAAATGGGGGCACAAACCGCAATAAAAACTTACAGATGCTCTAATTCCTCTCTAATCTAAACCTAAAAAAAAAAGTTTTACCTTTAGTTATACCTTAAGAACTACCCCCCCACGGGAACACGTTTACTTTAGACTGTTTAGTGTGTTTAGACCCCAGAACTCTCTTGGTCTGCCGGATCAGAAATCCCCTTTTCTCTGTTGGGTTTGTTTTGTCTCTGAACTGGTTTTGATGAGTTTTAGATCTGCAGTGAAATACTGCAGAGCTGATGTATAAAAGGTTAGGAAGTACTAGGACTCTGGTGCTTGTCAATCCAGCAAAAGGTAGTGCAGTGCTAGTACTGTCACTGTGCTGCATATGAGAATAATCCTGCATTTCTAGCACTCAGCAACCTGGGAATGGGGTTGGGTGTGCCTGATCTTAGCAGGGACCTCTTCACCATCATCAGAGCTACCTGCTGGGGTGTCACTGCTCTCTACAGGTTCATAATCTGAGCCTGATTCTGATAGTGAGGCTTCCCCTTCACTCTCATCTGTCATGCTGGGGAATCCTGTACGCCTCCCTAGGGAACCTTTTTTTGGACACTAAACTTACAGTTACTTAGTGGTGACTATGGGAAAAAGAGCTCCTGGCTAGCAATCAGGGACTGCTTGTGTGCTAGAAATAAAATGATCTGCTAGTGGTAGGAGAGATCAGGCTCAGATGTTGCTGACACTGTGGTTTGCAGACAATGTATCAGAGATGGCAGTGATCTGAAAAATGAAACTGACATTGCATTTGCTGGGGGGGCTAAACATAAGTGCTGGCAGTGATCGGGGCTGATCCTGCTAACACTGCATTTATAGAGACACCATTCCATCGGGGACACTAGTATAGTTCTGACTGTGACCAGGATACTGGTCCAGAGAAACACTATACTAGTGATCAGCAATTTATAGTGTGACTGTGATAATGTGGCAGCCAATCAGAGACTGGCAGTAACTGACACTGACTGGGGGGGACACTAACTGATGTCACTAGTGACACTAATACAGAGATCTGTGATAATACTGTACACTGTCACTGTACTAATGACTCTGGCTGGGTGATGGGTGATCAGGAAGGCAATCAAGGGGTTCACTGTGTGCCTAACAAGTGTATGTGTGCTGATTGTACTCCCAGACTGGATGGATTTTCTTCCTGATCTCAGCTCTGAACGGTAAGTGAGATCAGGGAGAAGAAACAGCCAGATCTTCATGTGTGATCACTAACAGCCTGATCTCTGTGCTGTGGTTGGCCACAGTTATCAGCAGGTTCACAACTAAAATCATTGGCTGCAAGCCTGACAACAAACTCATGCTGTGTCCAACCACAACGTGAGCAGCAAGGGGCGGCGTGCACTCCTGTAAACCAGGAAGTTGCTGGCAGGCAAATCGATAAACACTTTTCCCTTTGTAAGTGTCAGCGCTGCTGCAGCCCTTTCTGTACATCAGAGATGCCCCTTCACAGGGGGGATTAGGACACCTCCAGGATTAGGACACCTCCCAGGAGTAGGAAACCCCCCAGGATTAGGACAACCCCCCCAGGAGTAGGAAAACCCCCAGGATTAGGACATACCCCAGGGTTAGGACGTCCTTTAGGATTAGGACATCCACCAGGGTTAGGATATTCCCCTGGATGAAGACAACCCCCCCAGGAATAGGACAACCCCATTATTAGGAAACCCCCCAAGATTAGGACACTCCCCAAAAATGTAATTTAACTGCCTCCTGTCTGCCATATAAGGTAATGACAAGTGCAAGGCGGTTCTCTTGTTCTGGGAGGATGTCATATGACGTCCTCTCACTCTAACCATGCGTGTGCGGCTCCGGGAGTGCGCAGCACGGCGATCAGCGGTGTGCTGTGTCCCTTGGACATAGCGGATCACCGATCAATGGAAAGAGCCAAAGATATGATTGAAGAGCCAAAGAGCGATCAGCTATGATTGGACACAATCATCACAGCTGATCGCATGTAAACACGGAAATGCCGGTTATTGGCATTTCTTTCCTCTCGGGCTGTCACGCTGACAGAGGAGAGGAGAGCCGGTAATCGGCATTCCTCAGAGGGAACATGTACACTGATCATCAGGGCACTGATGATCAGTGTAGCCCCAGCAGTGCCACCTGTCAGTGTCCATCAGTGCCAGCTGTCAGTGCTCATCAGTACCACCTGCCAGTGACCATCAGTGCACATCAATGCCACATATCAGTGCTCATCTGAGCTGCCTTTCAGTGTCACCTACCAGTGCCAGTCAGTGCTGCCTATCAGCGCCCATCAGTGCTGCCTATCCATGCCGCCTATCAGTGTTATATATGAGTGCTGCCTTTCAGTGCCCGTCAGTGACGCCTGTCAATGTCCATCAGTGCCACCTACCAGTGCCTCCACATCAGTGCCCATCAGTGCAGCCTCTCAGTGCCCATCGCTGCAGCCTCATTAGCGCACATCAGTACAGGAGATAAATCACTTATTTACAAAATTTTAGAGCAAAAAACTAAAAAAAAAACATTTTGTCCTCTCAAAATTTTGTCCTCAAAAGTTGCTGGCAGGCAAATGGATAAACACTATTTCCTTTGTAAGTGTCAGCGTTGCAGCAGCCCTTTCTGTACATCACAGACATGTCCCTTCACAGGGGGGATAGGGACACCTCCCTGGATTAGGACACCCCCAAGATTAGAACAACCCCCAGGATTAGGACACCTCCCCTGATTAGGGCACCTCCCGGGATTAGAACAACCCCCCCAGAATTAGGACAACCTCCAGGATTAGGGCACCTCCCAGGATTAGGGCACTTCCCAGGATTAGGACAACCCCCAGAATTAGGACACCTCCCAGGATTAGGGCACTTCCCAGGATTAGGACACCCCCCCTAGGAATAGGACACTCCCTAGGATTAGGACACCCCCAGGATAAGGACAGCCCTCCCAGGATCAGGACATCCCCCATGGTTAGGACATCCCCTCAGGATTAGGACAACCTCTCCTCCAGGATTAGGACATCCACCAGGGTTAGGAAACACCCCCCCCCCCCATTATTAGGACCACCTACCAAGATTAGGACACTCCCCAGAAATGCCATTTAAAAGTGTTGGACATTTATAATGTTTTTTAACCATTTAAAACCTCCCTGCTCCCGGCCAACTGGATTCCTGCATTGTACATGTCCCTCAGGGTGATTGTCTGACACCCCCTTGTCTATTAGCCCAATATATTGTGCATTGGCTCCCATTGACTTCAAGAAGGATTGAGTTCAGCCAGTTCACTGAGCAACACTGGAACCGAACCCAGGAGAGCTCAGCTCACTCCTATGAGAAAGACCACCTCACCACAATGAGGAGAATGTTCCGGCCCCGGAAGTGAGGGATGTTCTGCCCCTGAAGGGGTTCATCTGGGTTCCCACACTATATATGTGTGTATCATCATCTGCTGGAGATAAAAGACGTCACAGTGACACAGAGGACGGACGTGACTATGGAGGAAGAGGGCGGACGTGACTATGGAGGAAGAGGACGGGCGTGACTATGGAGGAAGAGGACAGACGTGAACTATGGAGGAAGAGGACAGATGTGACTATGGAGGAAGAGGACGGACGTGACTATGGAGGAAGAGGACGGACGTGACTATGGAGGAAGAGGACGGACGTGACTATGGAGGAAGAGGACGGACGTGACTATGGAGGAAGAGGACGGACGTGACTATGGAGGAAGAGGACGGACGTGACTATGGAGGAAGAGGACGGACGTGACTATGGAGGAAGAGGACGGACGTGACTATGGAGGAAGAGGACGGACGTGACTATGGAGGAAGAGGACGGACGTGACTATGGGGAAGAGGACGAAGAGGACGGACGTGACTATGGAGGAAGAGGACGGACGGACTATGGAGGACTAGGACGGAAGAGGACGGACGTGACTATGGAGGAAGAGGACGGACGTGACTATGGAGGAAGAGGACGGACGTGACTATGGAGGAAGAGGACGGACGTGACTATGGAGGAAGAGGACGGACGTGACTATGGAGGAAGAGGACGGACGTGACTATGGAGGAAGAGGACGGACGTGACTATGGAGGAAGAGGACGGACGTGACTATGGAGGAAGAGGACGGACATGACTATGGAGGAAGAGGACGGACGTGACTATGGAGGAAGACAGACATGATGGGGGTTACTGGGTGTAATAGGAAATAACATCTTATTACCTCCTCTGCTGCCACTTCCACCAATGTCTCCTCTCTACTTCCTGTCTGTACCTGACATCACTTCCTGTCTGTACCTGACATCACTTCCTGTCTGTCTTCCATAGAGACTTCCTGTCTGGGTAGAAGTGAGATCCCCACCTTGTGGAGCTCAGAGGAGGAACTGCAGCCCCGAGAAGCGTCTGGTAGTGTGACCCCGGCCTTGTGCTGGGTGTGTATGGACTGTAGATCCTTATAGAGGGGTCACCTCCACTCCCACCAAGGGGGACAGAAATATATGACTGCTCGGGGGAGGGATTTTGGACCTCTCTGAGCTCCACAAGGTGGGGATCTCACTTCTACCCAGACAGGAGGTCTCTATGGAATACAGACAGGAAGTGATGTCAGGTACAGACAGGAAGTGATGTGTCATGTCGGGT